AGGGATAATGTAAGTATCAGATTACTTCTTGAATTTGCTAATCTCAGTTTATAAATTAACCGAACGTTACGTAACTTGTAACCATGATCACAAGAGACTGGCACTTGTCTTTATCCTTAGCCACAGGAATCTGCTGCATATCTTGTTATTTTCTATAAAATCCACTTTATTATTATCATCTCGCATCTACAGCTAGGTCTCCCAAGTAACTAGTCTCTATATTTTTCCATTTCCGTCCATCTCATCATCTTAATTTTCTTAAATATCAGTAAATTAAAAATTTAAGACTCAAGGGTATGAGCTAGCATGTTGTTTTATTAATACTAATAATTTTAGTAATTGGAAATCTAAGATTAGTTAAATAAAGTATTTATGTCATTATTTTTATAGCGATCCGATTAATATTTTGAGCTTAATAAATTGGGCCTTGTTCAAAATTCTTCTTATTCCAGAGCTTAAATCTTTTACTGATTCAAGAAAAAATAAAGTGGATTAGGTCAATAGGGTAACTGAGTGACGAATCACTTTTCGGCACAGCAAGGACTATGTTGAAATCCTTATATTCAGTGTTAAATGTTGTGTCCACCTTCGTCCAAACAGAAATGTTGGCGCAACCATCAGGACGACCAAGAGCTAATCCTGTCGTCCGTCTCTGCCGGAACAAAGGATATTAAATACGTCACTAAAGCCCGCGTTTCGAATTAATCACTGTCCAGTGTTTGCAGGAAACATTTGTCTCTTCTTCGCTGTTAAACGCTACTGTCAGCAGAAACGGTCGCTCGGAAAATAATACAATTGCTTATGATAAGAAGAAAAATACTGTCATACATTCAAAATTAAATTGTTTTAGGGAAAATGCAACGCATTCATACGTTTGTGATGAGAAAATGTGTAAAGACGATCAATGTAACTGACCGTTTAAATGATGGCTGCCTATAGTTTAGTCGCACTGTTTGAGACACACACAGGCTTATCGCAAATTAAATACATACTTTTAAAAAATATTTTTATACAAAAGTTTAACTAACATAAATTAAAACAGTAGCTAAACCGACAATGAGCGAGGCATTTCTAACAGAGTATCAACTGTTCATGGACGATGGATTGTCTGCGAAAATCTAAACCATGAATCCCTACGTCTCCGGAAGTAATTATTAAGAACTTCTTGAAGATCTTGTCTATATCCTCTCGTAGCGACATGGTTTGATGACCTGGAACTTCGAATGGTATCAGTTTAAAAATAAACCCTGTAAAAAATTGGGACGATTTGTGCAGCTTAGATATTATAAAATTACTTAATGTGCTCAAATTAAACATTTAGGACATGAACTTGTAATTTAGTTATTATTTACATTGACGGTAATATAACTTTTATTTTTGAAACATAATTTGTTAAACTCTACATATCACTTGCAGTAGCAATTAGCTGTCATAAAAAATTAACAAAAATACAGGGACAGTTTAACATATAGTCTAATACTTCTTTTAACTGAACATTGACCTTCTATGTTAATCACATAAAAGTACGCGATCGTTTACAAACTTGTGTATGAAAGCAGAGAATTGTTTCACAAATCAAGTAACTATTGCTTTTAAGAAACACTCTGTATCACCGAGTAATTTAATTGTAGATAAATGTGTATTCCTTGTAAATAACAGAAGAACGATAATATTGTGCCACAAAATGCTCTGATCGAAGTCATTGCCAAAAGGTTAATTTTAGTGCAA